CTTAAAATCTCTGTGGCATGAGATTGATCACTTGGAGACTATTGAACGAGAAATCCAAAAGGATGCAGCAACGTACAGTAAGTTGGTTGAAACAAATAAGGTGTTTGAATTTCTTGCTGGACTAAATTTAGATTATGATATTGTAAGGCAACAATTACTTACTAGGGACAATGTCACCTTGTTTCAAGCCTATTCACTAGTACATAGTGAAGAGAGTAAAAGGAAAGTTATGTTACAAATTCCACCCATGGAATCAGCAGTGGCAGTAGTGAAATCAAAGCCTGTTGGTGAAGGAGAGAGATGAAAAGGGAAGACAAGAGGGATATGGTGTGTGATTATTGCAAGAAGCCAAAACACACTAGAAATACTTGTTGGAAGTTGTATCCTCATCTAATTCCAGCAAGACTCAAGAATAAGAAGGGGAATGCCAATGCAACAATTCCTACTGATTGTGCATCTTCCTCTGTTGTAGATGCATTAGCTACAGTAAGAGCTGCCTTAACTCAGTTAGAGTGTGAAGTTGGAGTCTTAGGATCATCTCAGCCTTTATCTGCTACATCTACTACTACTCCCACTTCGGCTTTTGCTCACTTAGATACAAGAGCTACTGTATATCATGCTTCAGCCCCAAGTAACACTAGCATTTTTTGGATTGTTGATTCAGGTGCTTCTAACCAAATGACTAGTTTATCCTCCATGTTTACTTCATACTCCTTATTTTCTAGTAGAGACAATGTTTTTATTGTTGATGGTTCTCACCTATTTCAGGCAAGGGAGATATTAGAGTGTCTAATACCATTTCATTATCCTCTGTCTTGCATGTCCCTAAACTTACCACAAATATGATTTCAATTAATAGCATTACTAAAAATCAGAATTACTCAGTAACTTTTTTCCCTGATCATTATGTCTTTTAAGATCTGGTGACAAGGAGGGTGCAAATATTTCTTAATATTTGTTGATGACTATTCTCGTTTTTCTTGGGTTTATCTTATGCATTCTTGAGATGAGGTATCTACTATGACCCATGCATTCCACCAGATTGTTTTAACTCACTTTGGAGTCAGAATCAAAATTCTCAGATCTGATAATGCCAAGGAGTATTTTGTAAAGCTCATGGCCTCATATCTACTTGAGTATGGAGTTATTCATTAGAGTAGTTGTCCTCATACACTTCAATGGAATGGAGTAGCTGAGAAAAAGAATAGACACATTCTTGAAATTGCTAGGAACATCATGCTAAATTCTAACGCTCTTATTTGTTTTTGGGGGGATGCCATCCACACAGCTGTCTACCTTATCAATAGAGTTTCTTCACGGGTTTTAGACATGAAAGCACCTTTTAACCTATTGTACCCTAATAAAGACTAGTTCACTATTCCCCTTAAGACCTTTAAGTGCATTTGCTTTGTTCAAATCCTTGTGACTCATTGTTTTAAATTTGATCCTAAGCCACCCAAGTGTATTTTTCTTGGGTATGCACAAAATCAAAAGGGGTATTGTTATGGTCTAGTCTTCACGACTAGGTTTGTGTCAATGGATATTACATTCTTTGAGGATGTCCCTTATTACTCCAGGATTTCACCCCAAGGGGAGAGTGGTGAACAGGGTGTTTTTGCTTAGGAAGTTCTATTGCCTAATCCTATCAATGAAGGGAAGTGTAGTGAGGGGGGTTGTCAGAAGTGTAAGGAGTTGAGAGTGTTCCATAGATGATGGTGAAAGCAAGTTGGTTCCAATAATGAATAGTCCGAGCCACATCCAGTCTCCTCTATGGCACCGAATTCAAGTATTTCACCCTCAGTACCTACAACTAGTGTAGATGAACAACTACTATAGATGATATGTCTACTACCACCATTGAACCTCAACCTCCCACAGATGATCTTAACCTTCCTATTACAATACGCAAAGGAAAGTGTCGCTGCACCTCATTTACTACACATTGCATTTCTCAGTTTCTTTCTTTTGACCATCTCTCACCATCATATAAGTCCTTTTTGGTGTCCATTACTTCCGTACCTATCCCTAGAACTGTGCAGAATGCCTTGGTAGTACCCGAGTGGAAGGAAGCAATGAAGGTTGAGATGGATGCACTTATAAAAAATGATACTTAGGAGCTAGTAAATCAACCAAAAAGGAAGAAACTGGTTGGGTGTAGGTGGATATTTACAGTTATAATGCAAATGGGTCAATTGAAAGATACAAAGTTCGACTGGTTGGTAAGGGATACACACAGACTTATGGTATTGATTATGTAGAAACCTTTGCACTAGTTGCCAAAATAAACACAATCAGAGTGTTGTTGTCTCTTGCTGCAAATTTCTCATGGTTGTTGTTCTAGATGGATGTTAAAAATGGTTTTTTGAATGGTGATCTATAGGAAGAAGTGTATATGGAGTTTCCCCCATGCTTCTATAATGAAGACAGTGGAAAAGTTTGTCAATTGAAGAAAGCCTTGTATGGCTTTAAATAGTCTCCAAGGGCGTGGTTTGACAAGTTTATATATACCTTGGAAAATTTTGGCTATGTACAGGCTCAATCTAATAACACTCTCTTTTTCAAGAAAGCAAGTTCAACTTTAACTCTCTTGGTTGTATATGTTGATGATATTGTGGTGACAGGCAATGACAGTAATGAGATTAATTCTCTTAAGAAGTTACTTAGTAAGGAGTTTGAAGTAAAGGATCTAGGGGATTTAAGATATTTTCTAGGAATTGAAGTGGCTAGTTCCAAGCATGGTATCTTCATATCTGAAAGGAAATATGCCTTTGATTTCTTAGAAAAAATTGGAAAATTGGGAATTCGGCTAGCATACACACCAATTAAGCCAAACCATAAGATAAATGTAGAAGGGGTGAACTACTTAAAGATAAAGCCATGTAACAACGACTAGTTGGAAAGCTTCTCTACCTCTGCCTAACACACTCAAATATTTCTTATGTTGTTAGTGTTGTTAGTCAGTATATGCAATCTCTCAGAACATCCCATCTTCTTGCAGTTGAGAGGATATTTGCCTACTTAAAAAAGGTGTCCAAGCAAAGGTATACTCTTCAAGAATAATGGTCATATTAAGATAGAAGTGTACACTGATACAGACTGGGTTGGATGTGTGGATGATAGGAGATCTACCTCAGGGTACTGTGCCCTTGTTGGAGGCAACTTTATTTCTTGGAAGAATAAGAAACAAATTGTTGTTGCTCGCTCCAGTGCTGAAGTAGAATACAGATCTATGGCTAATGAGGTGGCAAAAGTGTTATGGTTAAAATTACTATTTGAGGAATTGGAAGTTGAATATAAAAAACCCCTAATGTTGTATTGTGATAATTAGACCGCTATTAATATACCTCATAATCCAATACAACATAATAGAACCAAACATATTAAAGTGGATCGGCACTTTATCAGAGAAAGAGTTGCCTCCAAAGAAGTGTGCCTTCCTTATTCTGCCTCCGTTATGCATCTTGCCAATCTCTTCACCAATGTAGTTACAAGGGTCAAGTTAGAGACGGATTTATACAATTTGGGAATGACTAATATCTATTCCCAACTTGAGGGGGAGTGTGGAGAAACAGTCTAATAATTTAGTGAAGTCCTTGCCATATTAATTGTCTTTTTTTATTTGCCTGCTATTAGTATCTTGGGCCTTGTTATTAGTCTTTTTGGGCCTTACTGGGCCTACTATTGTTGCAATTACTATTGCTGTTATTGTTTATTAAGGAGTGTGTTGAGAGGTAGGGGCATAGATGTCATTGTAAATCTTGTTATAATAGAAACATATATTGGTACCTGGGCGGCAGAAACTGATTGAGATCTGCTCTCTTTCTCTTCTCATTCTTCTTCCCTTCTCTTCCTCTCTTCTTTCTTCTGGTTTTTCTCTTATTCCTCTTTTGGTTTTCTTGCTAAAACTACATCAGAATATCGATTGACTGTGAACACCACCAGCCATCTAAAAGTAACTTTGTTGAGACTTGAGAGAAAGAAACAAAACAATATATATATATATATATAAAGATTTTAGGCCCATTGGGTTAAGCACTACAAAATTGTAGTGAAAATTATCACTTCTAGGCTTTGGGCTTTACTTCCAGATATTATCTACCCCCTACCAATTTGCCTTCACATCGAGCAAATAGATTACTGACAACTCAGTAATCTACCATGAAATGTTGGACACCATGGAAAAGCAGAAGGGTAAGGTGGGTTATTTTATACTAAAACTTGAACTATCTCAAGTAAAGCCTATGACAGGATTGAATGGAAATTTGTCGCATTGTTCTGTTTCTCCACTACCTTTAGCAATCTGATCTATCAGCGCATCTCCACCACAAGTATTGCAGTCATATTAAATGGTTGTGTGGGGCATTATTTCACCTCTTCTAGGGACCTTACCTCTTACGTAGGTCTGTCCACTCTCCCCTTGTTTATTTTCTGTATTTAGGTACTTTCGACTTTCTCACTTGCTCTCTTTAAAGCAACAAAATAGAGAACTACATGGTATCAAGTTCGGCAGAACTGGGCTCAGATTAAATCACCTTCTCTTTGTAGATAATGTGCTTATTTTTGGGAATTGCTCGATGTCTGAAGTGAAGTGCCTCCAATAACAGTTCAGTGCATTCTGCAGATGATTTGGCCAAGAAATTAATCAGAAATCGACTAACCACTTCAGCAGCAACACTCATAGTCATAGACACATTAAGCAATCGTGCAGTCGGCTTTTCTCTGACCATTGTAAAGTGGCTAATTGGAAAATTTTAATTGATAAGATCAAAGGAAGATTGCAGGGTTGGCAAACAAGCAAGTCTAACGGTTTTACTCAAAACTACTGGTGTCACCTCACACCTCATGGTAGATACTAGATGCACACCATAGTTTCAGGGCTAAAACTCCTGAAATCTCTCGGGCTCTTCAAACTACTAGTTATAGGAGTCGTAATAAGAAGGCATTTGAGCAGAAGAATTTTGATGTGCTCTCAATCATTATTTGCATCATGGATCGATTGGGTTTTCAGAACTAGGCATTTATACAGCTGATATGTATGCAAGGTACAAAGTAAAAGTTTCAAGAATTGCTTTCTCAGGATCCAATAAACTGATATTTATTAACGGATAGGTCCAGTTTGTGAATTTAAAACAATCCTAGGAATCCAATCCTGAACTGCAACAATCATGCATGTTTTCAAACCACCATAGAAAACTAAGCTGTGCATGCATGAACCTAGCAAAGTTGAGAAGGGGCGTGGTATAAGGCTAGAAGGGGAGATCTAGTTTCTCAACTATCAGCCACAACAGCTCCTACCCCGATGTTGAAATCAAAGGCAATGCATGTCAACTGGTGCCCACTTTTGTCGGTCATTTTCATCTTAAGAGTATAGGATCCCTGAAAATGCATCAAATGTTTGTTAATCATATGAAAAATCTGAATATGATCGATAGATGTCACTACCAAAAAAAAAAATTAAGCGGGCATTAGAAAAGAGAGGAATGCTATGTATATGGGTTGGTCAGACTGATTTTTATATATGATGCCTTGAACACCGGATACGGTTTAATGTGTGGGATCAAGTGTTTGAATGAAATCTAAAAATACACTAGATCCATGATGTTCAAGTAACTGTACGTTTGACAGTTTGAACAATCTATATGCTTAGTATTGCTCTAGAAAATAGCAAGGCAATAGAGATTGGGGAAGAATAACTTCATTCATGGTTATCATATTTGAAGATTATCACACTTAAAGCTTTGGATAGCATAGAAAGTTGGTATTGAAATCACACAAAACAGAAAACAGTTAAAGTGGTTAAAAGAATGCAAATGAAAACACACAAATAGAAGGCGACTTATATAAAATGATACAACAAAAGTTAAAATCACAAAATAGTTGCTGCAAGTATGATGAAATCACAAAACAGGTCAAAAACAGAGGAAATAGAAGGTGACTTATATAAAATGATACAACAAAAGTTGAGAAATAATTAAAGAAATAAAACTTGTGGAAAGTAACTAAAAAATTGAGAGGTTGTAAGCAGCAAATATGTGATTGTTAAAGTGACTTTGAGGTATTAAAACAATAGTAATAATTATATAAGAAGCACCGCAAACAGATTACTAACAGAGAAGCTACACCTGAAACAAACCAATGAATAGATTTAACCTAAAATGAAAGGTGATAAAATAGAATTCTACAAATAGTCTAACCTGAAATGATAAAAAATAAATCATAAATTACCCAAACTCTGTAACACAGCAATATGAATGATGAGTTGAAAAAAAAAAGATTTAATAATCTACAAATCAGATAATTGAGTTTTGGACTAAAGAAACGAATAGATTTAATAAATAAATTACTAATTTCAGATTGTATAATTCTAATAATCAGAAAACTACAGAATCTGAATTAAAAGAAATTCCACAAAATCTTGAAATGTCAATAGCACACTGAAATATACAATGATTTGAAACTAAACCAGATTCCAAATGGGTAACATGCAAGTCTTAAGTGCTCTATGATTTAAAAGAGAAAAAAAAGGTTCTAAATAAAAATAAATAAAAATCCCAACAAAGGATTCCAACTAACAAATGAACCTGAATTCTTTAAAAAAAAAAGGCTAAACAAAAGTAAGACAAATGGGTAATATGTGCAGAACCAAATTACAGCAGGGATGGAATCATTCAAAATTAGAATTGAAATTTTAGATATTGACTACAAGTATCTAAGGGGAATTACCAAAAAAGGCAATCAAATTGTGGGAGCATATTTGAAAAGTTAAATGCTTATTGATGAGGGCGGATTTGGCCCTTCAATGACATTATGACACCTGGCACCTCATGCCAACTAAGTGCAGCCTCTTGACAACTAGGCAGCTCACCACAGGTAGCTCGCCATAGGCAACTCACCCTCATGTAGCCTGGCACCTCAGAACAACTATGTGACACTCGGGACCACTTTGGCAACAACTTGCCTTTGCTAAGTTGATGGTGTCCCACTAGGCGCGGCTTGGCCCTGGCACAAGCTGGCAGCCTGGCCCTGCCACGAGCTGGCGGCCTGGCCTTGGCGCGACTTGGCGGCCTGGCAGCCTAACACAGGCGCCAACCTAACAACCCCGAGGAGCTCACCACCATACCCCGCATTTAAAGGGATTGTGACATGTAATGGCTATATTAGCTCACCCACTCCCCGAGTCAGGTGGAAATGGGCAACCTTACCAGTTGGTGGCTTTATCCCCACTTAACACGAAAGCAGGTCCCATCACAGCGGGAATCCAGGAACTGCTCCACCTAACCCACGAGGACTCCAGTATATAAAGACCTCACCCCCCAGGGGCAAAGGTATGCAAGAAAGGAGGATGGGTAACCTCTGCTCTCTAGCTCTCTCATTCCCTAATATCATTCTCAGCTCTCCACTAAGTGC